CAGGCGGCTACCCTTCTTTTACTTAGCACCTACGTTCACCAAGAACTTACTAAGGCCACAGGCCGAATGATCAGACCAGGCGCCAAGCCACCTGATCAAATCTACAAAACTAATACGACTTGTCCCAACATCATAGCAGGCGTCCGACGGCATCCCTCCGGATGAAATTCGTCGCAGAGAGCAGCTCCCTTTTGGGTGGAACATTGTTCTATAAACTAATTACACGGCACCTATACGACTGTCCCCAAGGGCAACCACGTAGCCGTTTTTGAGACAAGGATAACTCTATCACTAACCAAACCAGTGGTAGCAGTTGACATCTGAGTCAGATGACCGCCTGTATTACTTGGGATAAATGCAGGGGGTACCTATTGAGTTAATAGCCAACAAACATTGGCGAATCAAGGGGTCTAGCCGGCCTACGCCGCCTGGTACCTCTACTTCTCAAACAAAAGTGACGGCGACTGAGTAACTCCAACGTTAACTCATAGTCACTCCTTCAAATTTGGTATGGAACCTAAAAGGTTTGAGTCGTCCGCCTGTTTTAAACAAACAAGGGCACTCAAACCCCTATTCCTACTAGGTAACCTATTGAGTTAATAGCCAACAAACATTGGCAAATCAAGAGGATCAGCCGGCCTCCGCTGCCTGGTACCTCTACTATTCAATCTAGAGTGTGACAAAGACTAAGTAACTCCTATGTTAACTTAATAGTCACTCAAACTTAGTATGGAGCCTAAAAGGTATGAGTCGTCCGCCTGTTTTTAACAAACAGGGACTCTCAACCACTACTCTTGCTAGGTTAACAAATTACGAGTTAAAAGCCAACATTGGCAATAAAGGGAAACAACCGGTACCCGCCGCTTGTTATCCTACTTAATTCCTTGGCGACTAGGTAATACTATTTACTTGGTCAGACCGATTGAATAAATAGTTCGAATACCGATTGAATAAATGGCCGACTGATCGTCTATCCTGGAAACAGACAACCAGTCGTCCAGGGGCATAGGCGCCGTACTTACTATTTGTACCTGTCTGCAACGTTCGGCCATGTACAACAGTCGGTCTAGTGAACAATGGGATATTAGATATGGAATACTTAGACAAATTTGAATCAAAACAAAAATTTGATTAAAAATAAGCCGGTCATTAAAGACCAGCAGAATATTCAAAGCCCCGGCCCCCTGGCCGGGTAAATACAAAGCAAACGGCACGCAGGCCGTGAAAAAAAAAAAATACTTTAAGCTTAAGAAGGGGGCAGTTCAGTATTAGCAGCTGCCGCCTGGTCAGCACTCTTCTTGCTGGACTCGGCTTCAGCTGCACCCTCTTTTGATGCCTTACCCCCAAGTGGCACAAGCGCCACAACCGGCTCTTCCTCCTCCGCTTCTCCCAACGCCTCTTCTTCAGCAGCCGCCAGGATCTCTTGATTATATGTTTCCGAACACTGGCGGTACGTTCTTTCCCATGAGGCAAAGTCGGCATTGGGGAACAGGCGGCCCCAGGTCATGCGCTGGATTTGAGCGGAGTCTTCCACCATCTCCCGGACGAGCTCTTTCTTCTCTTGCTCGGCCTTTTCCGAGAGCTCTTGGGTAAGACTCTTCTCTTGGCTCACCAGGCGTTCTTTTACGTTGGCCAAAGATTTCTCCATGGCTTCGTAAGAGTGCATTTTTTTGGCGAAGAGTTTCAGCTCGGCCTTAAGATTTGTGACGGTCGCCTCCAGCTCGTCATTCTTCTTCTGGGCCGCCTCTAACTGAGCCCGAACAGCGGCGGTAGCTTGCGCCTGATAATAAAGAATATCAATGGTCAGTACTTCATTTTGGGCAATTTGAAACATTGTCTTATCACAGTTGGAGGCGGCCATAGCTTTTGCGGCCTTTACCTCTTTGTTTTTCCGATCAATCGGCTTGCGAAGGCTGTTAACTCGGAGCAGGGCCTAAGTACAAAAAAAAACAGGCGTCAGTTTCCAAACAAAAAAGATAACAGGCGTCCTGGAACTCAAATACTCAAAAATATGCTAAGTATACCTCAGCAAGGACCCCTGAAATCCCATCAAGGTCAAGGGTGCCGGCACCCCTGACCGCCTCCCTTTCAGATGGAGGAACTACTTTGATCATGGACTTGGCTACCTCAACCAAGTCAAGCCCCTGAGGGCCGGCTGCATCAAGCGTAAAAAAAAAAAGCAAGTTAGACCTAGTCAAGAAGGAAGCAAGTGTGAAAGTTTTTACAAGTGATTGTTCATACTTCTAGGCGGCCCCGCCGGGGTTTTAGAAGAAGTGGCCGGCTGCTTCTCAGCCGCCACTGTTTTCCTGGAAGACCCAGGAGAGCTTGCAACAGTCGTCCTCCGGGCCTTGGGATCCGGCTGTTGCGAGGAAGAAGCTCTTGGAGTGCCAGACTGAAAACAAAAAGAGTTAGTATATGCATAAGACAACTCCTAAAAGAGGAAGAGTTTTCGAAGCCTACCAAGGGTGCCCCCTTGTTGGGGGAGTCGGCACAAGACTGTTGCATGAGAGAGGCCCGCAACATGGCCGCCGCAGTCTTGGATGCTGTTATTTTACTCATGGCGTCAGCTGCAAAAAATAAACAGCAAAGTTAGTAAAGATCCCAAGTAAACAAGGCGTGAAAAAAAAAAAAAAAAAACAGAGTATTTGTCAGGCCGGCTACCTCTAGAGCACCGACTGCTGAGGCCACAGGCGGCCAAAAAGTACTCGTCATAGAGCCACTTGAAGCTCGGGACGCAATTTAGGGGTACTTGCTCTCGTACCCCTGAAGTAGAGTTCACCCTAGTCTCTACTTTGAAGAGTCCTTTGTCTAGGATCTCTCTTTTAGCCTTTGGGGGAACAGGCGGCATGCTGCGGCCGCCTGCGAGAAGAGGCGGATCCCTATTCCACTTGTTAAAACGTTGGTTCAGCTCCGTGTCTGAACCCTCAATGATGAGGAAGGTGTTCCGCCAATCCTTCTATTTGTTCGCCTTACCTCTCGTCATGAGGTAACCCCTATGGCTTGTTAATTGATACCAGCCGGTACCTCCCGACTTAGGGGTCCGGCTGAGATAGTTCATGTGGGCGAAAGCCTCAAAGCTTGGCTCCACCCCGTACATTTCGCACCCGGCCACATAGCCGAGTACGTTTACCCAAGAGTTGGGGGCTAACTGCCATAACCCCAAATCATACCCATCTAAAATCCGCTGAATAGCCGGATGTAATGGGAAGCGCAGTCCAGCTTTGATGACCGCCACATAGCAGCCAAAGCAGCCGTCATCATAGCTGGTACCAACCGGCCAGACGACAGTGTCTTCTGGATCCGGCACGAACAGTAAAAATTCCGGGCCCATTCTGTGGTTAGCAATAAAGCTCTCCACTTTGTCTTGCATGGTTGCGATCCGGCCCCGGGGTACCATGCAGTAGTAGGGGGCGTTTTCCTCTCTGTAAAAGGCGGACGGCTCCGCCCAATTGTCCCCCTTCTCAACTGCATGAGAAAGTCTCGCCTCTTGTAGGCGGCTATGTCTTTCTTCTGAGCCTGGAGAACTGTGGCCAGAAGAGCTGGACTCGGACTCGTCCTCTGACGAGTCCGAAGAGGACGACTCCTCCCCTCTCCCAGAGGGGCCCGCCTCCTCTCCCTTAGAAGGAGCAGGAGGAAAATTAGACATGTCAACGGTAAGATGGGAAGGGACCACCTTGGCCCCTCTCTCAGAACTGTCGGCTTGGCAGCCGCCTCGTTTCAATTCTACATCTGGCGCCTGGTCAGATGTTTCACTAATGAGCACCCTTTGGGAGGAGCCGTCTGAGTTTGATATCATAGCAGTCTTTTTTGTTCTGGCCATCACGTTCTGCATAGACACAGATACAGTCGGACTTTGTATAAAGGGCAAAGATGGGTCCAGAAAAGGGCAGGCGGCACTCCTAGTCCTAGATTCAGCCGTCCCCGGTGACCGGCTGATCACTAACTTAGGTCGTGTCGTGTGCTTCCGTGGTGCCATTTCAAAAAATAAAAAGAAAATTAAGAGTAAGAGAACTGAGTTACCTGAACGAGTGACGGTTGATGAAGTTCTGGAAATCCGGTGCAGTCGGCTTGTCAGAACAGGCGGTAGGCAGAAAAGGTCCGAAATGTCAGAGCAAGTTCAGGGGTCCGAATGTTCTCGCAAAGTTCTCAAATGTGAAAATGACCGAAGTCAGCACTTCCTTATATAGGCAAAGTGAGAAGGCGAAGGGTCGCTTCCAAATTCAAAATTTGGGCGGGAAAATCTCTCGGCCGTTTGCAAGGTGACACCTGTAGCAGGCCGTCGCCTGTCACCGTGCGACACCTGTCACAGGCGACACGTGACCAGTCACGTGCCACCTGTGAGGGGCAAATGATTAGGGGATTTTTATCCACCAATCACCGTCTAACAAGTGGACCAACCAGGTTCCGCCACGTGTCCTTCACGAAGGCCAATAGGAGCCTGCCACGTGTCAATCACAGATACGTCCTCTACGGACCAATCGAGGCACGCCACGTGTCCACCCATGCCAAATGGGAAAACCGGCCAACAAGGCCCAATCCTGTCTAGAGGCCCGGTCAGCCCTAGGTTTACCCTAAACCTAGAGAGTGGCACGCTTCTCAAGACTATAAATACTTAATTAATCCTCATTAATTGGGGAATCAAGAAGAAAAGAAATCAAGAAAACATCAAGCAATTGAGAGGCAATTGATCAAGCAATTAATCTCACCTGAAGAACAGAGAAGAACAGAAACATTACGGAACACTAATAACCGGCTAATCTCGCTAACAAAGCAGATTACCAACATTAAACACTCTCACCTAGAGAGGTCTTGTTACTTTAATTTCCGTATTAATTACTCCTTAATCAGGTACTAACTTGACCGTGGGAGGCGGAGCTCTCAGGAGTCTCCGTTATTTTGCAGGTACAGGCGTCCGGTTCCAGTCTCGGAATTGTAACTCTCCCGCAGGACATCAGAAAACCCCGAAACAACAACGACTACAATATTTGAGAGGCAAACGACCAACATCAGCAGGTGAACAGCAGCAGTAGAGACCAGCAACACAGCAAGCTGTCCCAACATCAACAAGCTCAGCAGAACGACAGCATCAGCCAGAACCAGGCAGAAAGCAGCACAGTAGCTGATAGTGCAGAACATCATCAGTAAAAGGAACAACAACAGTAGTAACCAGCCAAAACCAGAACAAGACAGCAACGGAAACTAGGCAACAAACTAGAAGCATACAGGGAAAAGCAAGTCCAAACCAAGATGCCTTTTTCAACCCTACAACAGCTCAGAACAGCAGAGACAGGCAGAAAAAACAACAACAACCAGGCAGCCCAATAGAACCTACACGACAGCAGCCTGCACCTAACAGCCCCACAGGCAACCAAACAGAGACCAACAAGCAGCTAGCAGGGCTGCCAATAGCATAAACAACACCCAGCAGCTCGCATATAGCAACACAGAACAATAGAAGCCAGCAGGCCTGCAACCTGCATATATCAAAGAAACCCAAAAACCTTATAAAAACACAATCCAATTTCAATAATTCAGAATCAAAAAAGAAGATAAACATCCATCATTCCTCTTTTCTCATATATAATTCAATGAGAAAAAAAAAGAACTAAAAAAATACCCGGAGGATGTAGTGGCTACAACAAACAATAAAGTCAAGATCAATAATAGAGGATAATTATTCACATGTTGCTAGATGTTGATGCTTTGCGATCTTGCAGGTCTGCTTTGTTCATTCATGTTTATGTTCTTTATACATATATATTATTCAGAACTATTCTACATTACTTTTCCATATTCTGTTCAGATTTTCACATTTTCCTTCACTGATTTTTCAGCTTCTGTAAATGTGATACTTTCCATGTGGGTTTGATTGCAGCATAGAAGTAGTACTGATATCTGTAAGAACCAAGCAGACATATAATTTCCCTTTTAATTTGTTTTGTATTGTCTTTTATCATCTTTTCCTGTTAAAAAACCAACTTGAATAGAATGTAGAGCAGAAGCTTCAGATTTTATTTCTGGTAGTATCAAATGCAGCAGCTTTACTTCCTGCAATTTGTGCCCTCTGGAAGAAAGTAAGGCCTTAAATATGTCACCGTGAAAATTGAAGACTTCCTACATTCATAGTTTACTTATATTATACGCTTCAGAGCCCTTCATAATCTAATCACATCATGTTCTGTATCCAAGCTAGGGGATCATGTCAGACTAGCCTGGAAACTCTATATTAACTCTAATTCTATTCTGAGGATGCCCTTTTCTGCATTTAATGAATTGATTTAATGGTTGGGTATACAGAAATATTCAGTTTAGTGGGAGGATTTAATAGATAACTGCTGCTTCAAAGGGAAAGTCCAAAAACAATATTGATTTGCAGTTGTGCACCATATTTCTAGCCGGTTTATGATCTCTTGTGCAAGAGAAATTTATAACTTTTGCAATAGGTCGAATGTAGATGTCAAAGTTTCCCTACCCTCAGGAGTGTATCTAATATTCTCAAGATTTTTGTGTGCGTTATCGTTGCTGTAAGTGTCTGCCCATCTCTTTAGATTAGAGCCACACTGGCAGACCTCAGTATGCAAACTTGAGATATTTATGTTCAGAGATATTATAGGAGATGGCAGCAAGGCAGAGAGCTAAAAAAAAAAAAACTCGGTCTGATTCAAATGAAAGTAAATGAAGAATTAAGGGCAAAGGCAAACAGAGGTTTTACCTCATAGAGATGTGCTAAGCGTAGTAGTACATATTTATCTTCCAATTCCTGCAAAGTTGAGCATTCATCAGTTAGACAAGTCTTGAAAGGCAAGCTTGAAAACACACGTACTTCCTTAGAGACCCTAGGAGCTGCTTTTGAGAATCATTTTCAAAACAAGATGTTGCTTAGCAAGAATCATAATGAATTAACAAGTACCTGAAGGGTTATCAAGGAAACATTAAGAGGTAAGCTGTAGTTTGAATCATAATGAATTAAGCCTTGTCGATAAACTCAATAATTAGAAAATAACTGCATTCTTCAATATCATTATCTTATGGGGCACCCCTAATACCCCCACTGCTATAATTCTCTCGGCCAAACCCAAGTTCCGCTCTTTGATAACCTTGGGGGTTAAGATCCACATATTGTACATGAGCTCATAATTCTCCTTGAATCAACTATCTCATCTTTATTTCGGCTCTAACATTACACATAAATCATTAAGCTGAAAACATTCGCTAAAATATACTACAGGAGCTAAATAACTTAATAATAACAACATAAAACAAGTAAATTATCCACATTAGCTTCCAAGCAGAAAAAATAAATAATAAATCGGTAATACTAGTAGAAAAAACTAACCCTAACAAGAATTTTGTACTGAAGAGGGTGTGGAAGCTTGTAGCCGGCAAAAAGGACATTTGGGTCTCCGTGCAATTGCCTATACCATGTCAAAAAAATCAATCAGCAAAATCGATCAAATTAGGGTTTATGAAATTAGAAATTGGGAAAATAATTAATTACATGCGGAGGATGTTGCCACTGGTGTGGTATTTTCTCTCAATGGTAAAAGAGGCAGCATTGATGATCTTCGTATCTCTCTCATACGAAACCCTAAAACAAAAAACAACAATTATCAAATTAATAACAAATAAATAAATTGTGGTTATTACTGAAAAAACAAAGTGGGAAAAGATAAATATTGAGATAATTACTTCTTGACGCCTTCAGGAACGACGAATCTCTCGTATCGATCAGGAGCATTCATCTTTCTCTCTCTTCTCTGATGCTAACAAAGAATTGTGTTCAACTCTGTTCTAAAATTCGACTTATTTTCAGTAATTTTTAATCAACCTTGTACTTTTATCCTATACCGTCCCTTAAATAAAATTACAGTTAATACACTTTTTTTTCGACAAGGCTTAGCTAGAATCATAATGAATTAAATCATTTTCATCTTCAAGTGTCATGTTCTCATACAGAATTTCTATCAAGACCCCAATCCCATTGCACCCCATTCCCCAAACACATAGTTCAGCTTTTCCATATTGTAATATACCAATAAGTAGTAAGCATGCTCATTTCCAAAGTATCAATATACTATTTTGCTCTATCGCGCCCAAAAGAAACGCAATGCCCTTAACCAATTCCAACATGAATCGTCTATAAGCACCAGTTACTAGACATTATAACACCAACTATAGTAATCTACTGTCATTACCTATACCATAACATTTGCATTACCATAACCAACAAAACAACCAAACGCACACTTATTTGCAAGTTAAAAATCAACTAATTTTCCAATAACCAAACCAAATACTAACAATATGATAAAAAATTTATAACAAAATCTACTAAAAATCAGAAATTAAAGATAAAAGAAGGAACCTGGCAAGAACATAAAGGCGAGAATCCCAAACGAAAGAAATTAACCTGACAGTTCTCGAGGAATTAAATGTTTTACAAACGAAAGAAATAGAGGTAGAAATGCAATAGAAATAGCGATTATACCTGACTCCATTGTTGAGCTACCAAGCGACCAAGAACACCAGGTCCAACAATTAGCAAATCACTCTCACCAACTACCACGGACGATGATGATGTTCCTGATTAACATTAAATTGTTAATTGATTGAAACTTTTTAAGTGTATAATTGTTGAAACTGGAAAAATAATTGAAAGGGGAGAGAAAGCGAGAAAGATGAAAAAAGAGAGATAAAGATAGAAGGCTTACTCAAAGATCAGGGCACGAAGCTGGAGTTTGAGCGACATTAGCTCAGCAACTCTCCACCACCGCCATCAATTACAAATCAAAACTCACCATCGTTGCTCTCCACCACCGCCAACAGTTACAAATCGAAACCCTAGAAATAAAAAAAAATCAATTTTTTGAATGAATTTTTTCGTGATTTTCACCTCAAAATCGGCCTCAGAATTTTTGTTTTACCTTGCTTATTTATGTGAGATGATGATGGGGAAACTAGAGAATTGGGGGAAATTGAGAAAATGGAGGATTGGGGGATATTGAGGAAATGGAGAAATAGGGTGAGGATGGGTACTGTGAGAATGAGTGGAGAAAATGGGTGAGAAAGGTAAAAACGTGTTTGTTCAAAATTTTGGTGAAAAAATTAGAGGGAACAATGCGCGCTTCAACCTAGCTAAAATTTTCACGATACAACACTGCCGTTGCATTAGCTTTCATTTTTGTTAAAATATCTAGGCTATTGCAACGGTTCTTTAGAGCCGTGGCAATAGCTCTACCTCTAAGAGCATTAGTTTTAACTCTGTGTCAATAGCTTAGTCTATTGCAACGAAAATAAAAATATCGTTGCAATAGGCTATCTATTGCCACGGCATTTGGATAAGGCGTTGCAATAGCTCATTTTTTGGCGTTGTATTTGATCGAAAATGTAGTAGTGCCGCCTACTACCGCTCCCTCTTGGGCAAGCGGTCAGCTGAACAGTTGCCTGCATCGCAGGCGCCCCAGGTGAACTTCTTTTCAATTTTTCTAAGTCTTAATTTATTTTTTGCCGCCTGCTTCTTACTCTTTATGGTTTTTGTTATAGGGAAACTCAGCCAAACCTTCTCCTTCCTCACGGCTGGATCCGAAGATTCGGAAACAGACGGCTGGTGACATGAAAACTCCTGGTAAACCCAGGAAGCATGTGGCCAGTAGGCTAGGGAAGAGCCATCCTCCCAAGTCTCCAGCCGTCCCTAAGGTCACCCGACCCCAGAAGGAGAAGGAGGTGGCGGCTGAAGGTATCAAAAACTTTAATCCTTTACCTTACCCTTGTAGGGTCAAATTCCAACAGCAGTCGACCAGTACCTATGAAAGCAGTCGGTCTATTGGTAAAATTTACACCAAGTATTTACAGAGTGTTGATTGTGCAGATGCCTCTTAGAGGCTGGATCTTCAACAGTTGACAAAGACCATGTAGAGAGTCGTCTCCCTTGAGGATAGGGAGTTGGTAAGGGGAGTCGGCACCCTCAACCTAGACTCCATCCTCGCCCTTCTAGCTTAGGTATCCTTGTAATTTTTTACTTCTTTTTTCTTTACACAACTCTTAGAGCCGCCTGTTACTAATGTTCTCTTTTGCCGAATGCAGTCTACACTACGAGTGCACGGTCTTTGCAGGCCCATTAATGAGAAGACCAAAGAGGTAAAAGCTGCAAATTCTCGGGCCACCTCTTCTCTAGATACGACCATGTTTCAGATTGCTCAAAATGAAATATTGACGATTGACATACTATTTTCATTGGCGACCGCCAACCTGCGTGTCAAAGCTGACTTGGACGCTGCGAAGAGGCAGGTCTCTGAGCTGGAGAAACAGGTCAAGGACCTCAAGGCTAAGCTTAAGCCCCTCAAAGAGGCTGACCAAGAGGCAGCCGGCCTCCGCACTCGGGTTGACAAGCTCAAAGCAAGGCTGCCAACCAGGAAGTCCAACTCGCTAAGAAGTATACTTCTAGGGATGAGGAAGAGAAGGGGCTCCTGGTCAAATAGATGATGGACGACTGCGATGCCATCATGAAGATGACCTGAGAGGCTCTCTTCCCGGATGTTGGCTATGAGAGCTGGAAGAATCAGTTCGCCGCCTCCTCTTAAGAGTACAATGATAAAATCATGAACCAAGCTGAAGAGGAAGAAGAGGAGGCCGAGTCATCTGATTCGGCCGAGGGGTCCCACTAGGAGGAGGGGGAGGACATTGAAGAGGAAAAGCAGCTGGTTGGGGAAGAGAAGGATGCGGCTGCTAATACTGAGAAGCTCCCTCCTGGTGCTTAAGCTTTTCTTGTTTTTGTATTACATTTCTTCAGCTTGCGTGCCGTTTGCTTCATTGTATCTTTACCGACCTAGGGTTCGGGTCTATTAACAGTTTTTGCCGGTCTTAGGGCCGACTAAATTTATGAATCATCCAGCAATTTGGCCTGCATTTCATGAATTGTGCTAAGTATTTATAACTTGCTTTTTGTATGAATACCCTTTTTTATATATACCGACTGTTTTTGTCCCGGAGCGACTGTGCGTCTTGTTTTAAAGGTGGATTGTTTGACTTGGAAACTTTTGGTACTATAAAGAGTACGAATGGTTTTCAGATCAATCAACCACTAGGGTGATTGCCCCAAACAAGGTGGGCAGTCAGCCATTGCACAAGCGGGTAAACGTTCCACATTATCCGGCCTTCGGCTTCATTTTAGTTTTTTATACGAACTACGCTTAGCTGCTAATTTTTTATACTTAGCTTAATTTGTTGATCTTAAATAGGTCGTTTGTATGATACCTGGTCAGTAGCAGGCGTCAAACAGGATATCTAACCAAGATAGTGGCCGCTTTTTACAGCACAGGCGGTAGCCTTAATTATCTTGGTTTCGCTATCCTAAGTAGGAATAGTGGTCTAATACCAACTGGTGTCAATAAGACAGGCGGGTTTGTTTGTACTAGTTAGGTTTCATTTAAGTTTATTTATGCCGAACGACTATGATTTATCCCTTTGGGTTAATCAGTTTTTGTCGCTTGATTTTAGGCGTATAGTGGAACGGTCAATGACCGCATGTAGTTGCTTCGCATGTTTAGATGCTAAGTTTTGGACTTAGCTTATTTTTGCAATTAGTTGCTTAGCTTATATCCTCAAATTTAGCCGACTGTGTTGTCCTTGAACAACAACAGTCGGTATCCAACCCACAATTACAGATTACCGCTTGTTTTTAGTGCAGTCGGTAGTCTTTTTATCCTAAACTCATTTGATCAGCTCAAGCAGCTGTGAGCTTGCCTTTTTAGACAGTCTGTAGGTTCATTTGTTTTTAAGTTTATAGAGCAATGTGCAACCCAAATGGGAGATACTCTCTATGACGAATTCACCTAGATAGATGTCACCGGATGCCTACTCATTTTGGAACAAACGTATTTTTTATATTATCCGGCCATTGGCCTCAATAGGTTGTTAAAAGGAACAACTTATAGCTGCTAAGTTCTTAAACTTAGCTTACATCTACTCATGTTGGAGCAGACTTTTAAAATGTTAATAAGGTCGCTTACACATTGTGCAGTTGGTACATATTGATAAAAAGTGCAATCTTTCATTGATACTTTTAAGTACAAAAAATTACAAGTCTTAGAAGTAGTACTTTTTTAAGTTGTCTACATTCCAAGTTCTGGCTAGCTACCTACCGTCTAGTGTTTCCAGGCGGTAGGTGTCGCCTCTTACTTCTTCATAGATCCGGTAAGGGCCTTCCTAGTTGGGGGTTAGTTTTCCCTGTTCATTTGCCTTACCAGTTGCCTACATTTTTCGTAACACAAAGTCCCCTACGTTCAAGGTCTGGTTGTGTACTCTTTTGTTGTAGGCTCTCGTCATTCTCAGACGGTAGATTTCATGATGCAAGGCAGCATTGCCCCTGCGCTCAGGGAGTGAGTCCAATGCTAGCCACATGGCCTCCTATTTAGCCTCTTCATCATATAACATGACTCGAAGAGTCGGTTCATAGTGCTCAATAAGCAAGATACCTTCTGCACCATAAAACATGAGAAATGGGGTTTCACAAGTCGCCCCTTTTTCAGTCGTCCTAATGGCCTGTAGAACATGCGATAATTCATCCGCCCACAGGCCGCCAGCTCTTTCGACTTTCTTTTTAATGCCACCTGAGATTAATTTGTTGAAGGCTTCAACCTGGCCGTTTGCTTGGGGACGGCTGACTGATGCAAAGCAATGAGAGGTCCCTTGGTCTCCCAACCAATTCTTGAGAGTAGGCGTTTCAAACTGAGGTCCATTGTCAAAGACCATAGATATGGGCACCCCGAACCGAGTGATAACATTTCTCCAAATGAAGGAGATAACATCTTTTGTTTTGATGCCTTTGACCACCTTTGGCTCTACCCATTTAGTGAAGTAGTCAACAGCAACTAGAATATACCTCTGTCCGCCTGTAGCAGGCATATATGGTCCTAGTATGTCCATGCCCCATTTGGCGAATGATACTGGGCTATGGATGGCCGTTAGATCAGTGGCCGGACGATATATGAGTTTGCCTAACCTTTGACATTTGTTGC